AGATTCTTGAATAAGGACATGGAGTTTGGAGAGATGACATAGTAAACTCAATAGGATTCTCGTAGCTTTTATCCTTTTTTCCTGGGGGGTGAGATGCTCTGCAAAGTATCGGGGCAGATTCTGCTGAACTTTCAGAGGAACTAGAACTGGAATTTGCTGGGATCTCCTCTGCCAAGGTCCTCCAAGGACCTTGTAGGTGGCCTTGCTCCAGCAGGACAAATCTAGGTCAGCTTGGAGCATTTGACCCTTACTTAACCCGCACAAAGAACTGTGTGACCTCTTCTGAACTTCAGAATCTATGCTACCAGCAGAGCCTGATTAGCTTTTGCTAATAAAATATAAGTCCTAGCACCATCCCCTTCTTGGATTAGAAAAAACTTATTTTCAGGCTCCTTTCGGTAGAACCGGTGGGCCATTCATTCTGTGGAACTCTGCCCTTTGAATGGAACTGTATATTCTTTTGTAGAGCAACCTGGGCTGAAACTTAGACCTTCCTTTTGTTTTTGCCTTAAGGGGCAAGATACACACCCTACACATCCTTTAGGAAGAATGATACAACATTGCTACCCATACCCTTTGTAATTTCAGGTTATTCCTGGAACACCTGGCTTAGTGTAACAGTAATTCACAGTCCTCAACTGGACGGTTGCAGAAAATTCTTCATCACCGAGTTCAGCATGCGCCAGCTGTGTTATTGAAGTGGTAGTTGAATTTGGTGATCCTTCCGTGGTCCAGACAGCATGGCACTGCCTGTAAGGACCACACGGTGTGGTTAAGGGGAATATATTTCCAACAACAACGAATCTTCAGACTAAGCTCAACAGCACACAGCCAAAAAGATGTACTGTTTGATGATTTGACTTAGGATATTGAACATGTTGGAGTGAAACCCACTCAGAAGCGTGACAAGGTGTACCTGCCTACAAGGAAACACAGAGAGAAATCTAATGCTGCCCAGAAATCTCCACCAAATGCTGTATTGATAGTCTCATCAAGCACAGATAAGAGTGTGACGTTTTATTTCCTTGCATCGTTAAAGATGGCCTTGTCACATTGTTGAATCGAGTCCTTGGCTGGCAAAAGAAAAGAAAATTCCCCAAATAATTTTCAATGAAGTGTGCCTTATCTCTAAACCGCAATTAAGTGCTTTCAAGATTTCACATTCACAGAATGATCTCAGCAATCTCACAGCTTTGCAATGCTGTTTCTAAAAGAGAACATGTATCGTTTGGGAAAATGAAAATGGTTGGAATTGTTTTGGTTGCTGAAAATATACTTGGCTGCAGCGCTGTGGCACTGTGGAAAGGAAAGTGCTTTGGCTCTGAGCTCAGGCAGACCCGGGGTTTGAATCCCAGCTCCTTCATTCACTGTCTCCTTAATAGGTCATCAGAGTTTTTGAGTCTCTTTGCCTTTTCCTGTAAAAATGAGGTCAAAATAATGTCTGCCTCTGAGCATGACATGCATAGAAGAAGGGGCATTGCTTGGCCCTACTGGATTCTTATTATATTAATATCTGTTATCTGCAGGCCTAGTATGTGCCTGGCATAGTCAAGTGCTTATGAATATATGTTAATTCACAATACTATGTGGTTGATTCTTTAAAAAAATATTTGTATTGATTTCAGAGAAGAAGGGAGAGGCAGAGAGAAATAGAAACATCAATGATGAGAGAGAATCATTGATCAGCTGCCTCCCGCACACCCACTCCTGGGGATGGAGCCCACAACCCAGGCAAGTGCCCTGAACAGGAATCGAACTGTGACCTCCTGGTTCATAGGTCAACAACACTCAACCACTGAGCAATGCTGGCCAGGCTATGGTTGATTCTTAAAGTGACCAACTTGCCCCTGGTTGCCTGGAACTATCCTAATTTTACAACTGAAATTCCTGAGTCCTAGGGACACTCTCAGGCCAGGACAAACTAGGGAAGGCATTTGGTCACTCTTTCAATATTATGGTCTCACTTTACAGGTGTGGAACCGAGGCTCAGAGGTTGTGTGAAAGTTGCCCAGTGTCTCACAGTTGGGAAAGAATAGGCCCAGTACTCAACCCCAGGCTTGAAAAGCTCTTTCTGCAGCTCTAACCTCTGCTCAGTAAATGTTGTTATTCTTGCTGTATTACTAGGACATTCTGAACTTAGCAGGTATTGGTAGATCAGATCACATTTTCAACCATCTTTAATTACAATTTCAGGAGTGTGTGTGTGTGTGTGTGTGTGTGTGTGTGTGTGTGTGTGTGAAAGAGTGGGGATTGCTCTACAAGTGATAGTGATAATGAAAATCATAAGGATAATGCTAATGGAAATGATAATTTCAAAGCTTAACATTTATTTCAAAGAATGTTTTGTGTTTGGTCAATTCACAATCCATTCATTCTTCCCTTTATTTATGTATTCATCCATTCAACAGGTAGACAGCGGGGTCCTACTGTGTGTCAGGTACTGCGACAGATACAAAGAAGGTCAAAAGTTGGTCTCAAGTTGCTTAGTGCACTTGGATTTAAAGCATCAATTGTAGTCCTGGCCAGTCAGAGGTTGCATCAATTGTAGTCCTGGCCAATCACCAGTGAGGGGGTGTGCAGGAGGCAGCAGATGGATGTTTCACTCTCACATTTATGTTTCTCTCTCTTTCTCCTTCTCCCATCCTCTCTAAAAATCAATTAAAAATCCTAAAAAAAAGGAATCAATTCTAAAATAGTGTGAGAAGTACAATATAAAAGCAAGACCTATGTGTTTGAGCCCTTTCTCACCATCCCTCATATAAGGCTCCAGCACACAGATCTTTAATGAAGCTACAAACTTATAGTTGACACTTTTTTCCATTAACTGTTACCTCTTCCTGGAAGATTCTTTCTCCTTATGGTGGTCTTTCAGGTCCAATATGAAATATTGCCTCTTCATAAAGAACCTCCTTGAGCACCTTGAGCTAAATTAGTTCCCGAGACATTCTCTATTAGATCGCCCCTGTTTTAATGATCTTCCTAGAGTTTATTTATTGTTATTTGATATTTATCTTGATTTTTTTTTGTTTACTGCTTTTTGCCTGTCTTTGCCAACAGTGTAAATTCCAGGGAGAAATGGTGACATTGATTTTATTGTGGTGTTTTTTTTTATGGCTATATTCTCAGGACCTAAAACAATGCTAGGCACACAAGAGCTGTCAGTGAGCATGTTTCGAATGAACAAAATGAATGAATTAATAAATGTTTTGGATGCTGGAAGGAGCAGTCAATTCAGCCTGAGTAGAAGTGTGAGGAGAACTGTGCTTAAAGGGATATGTGAAGTCAGCCTTACTTCCCCACCCTGGTTATAAAGGTAGTATATTCTTAGTTGCAAAGTTAGTAAAAAAATAAAAATCACACAAAAAAGAAATAAGGTCAACTTGACATAATCACTAATAATATTTTGTTGCACTTCTCTTTTTATTCATTCTCATAGATACTTTTGAACAAAATCAAATCACTCTTTTCGTAATTCTTACCTTTTTGAGGGTAACTATTTTCTGACATTTTTATTTTAAAGGGTTCTTTGTTCTTCATCATAATAGATGTACTAGAATTTATGTAGCCAATCTCTATTGCTGCACCTGGGGAAGTTCCGTTTTGCCATTACTGACGATATTGCACAGCCTTGCAGATAGATAATATTTGTATGAATCCATGTGGTAGCTTAATTAAGCCAAAGTAAATTGATCTGGGTCCTAGACCCACCAGCTTCTTTTAACCATTTATTTTTAAACTTTGCAAAGATTTCTCAACTGTAATGTGGGGAGGAGAACCTACTTCATAAGACTGTTGTGCAAAATAAACAATATAATGAAGGTCAAGTTCTCAGCACAAAGGATGCCACCATATGGGTTAGCTCCCCTTGATAACTTCCTGTGAATTCCAATTGGCTTTCCAAACTATCTTAAAGGACAAAGAAACAAGCTAAAGAGATGTGTGGGAAGGAAGCTGAGATAGGGGAATGAAGTTGGGAAGAGGAAAACTTTTTTAAAATTATGGAAGAATAAGTATACATCCACAGCATCAGCTATAAACTGTAAAACATAAAGCTTACGCCACCTCTGACTCTCACACAGCCCTGTTCGCCTTGCTGGTCTGCATCACCCCTGGAGATATGCTTTTATGGCCACACAGCAAGAGGAGGCTGCTCAAGATAATGCTGGTGGTCTAAGCTTCATAATCAGGAGCATTTAACTGAATGAAAGAAGCCAGAAAGGTGAGTTTTGATTGGCCCAACAAGAAGTTCAAATTTAAAAAAAAAAATTTAAAAATATTATTGATTTTAGTGAGAGAGGGAGAGGGAGAAAAGAGAGAAACACTGATGTGAGAAGTTAACATGGATTGGATGCCTCCTGCATACTCCCTTACTGGGGATCGAGCCCACAGCCCAGGCATTCTGATAGGGAATTGAATTGGTGACCTCTTGATGTATGGGATGACACTTACCCAACTGAGCCACACCCACCAGGGCAAGAAGTTCAATTTTTAATATATAGAAGTGTCTAGTAGATTGTCTAGAGATAGAACAGTGGTTCTCAACCTTGGCTGCACATTAGAATCACCTGGGAATCTTTTTAAAATCCTGATTTCTGGGCCTTGTCCTCTGGAAATTCTGTTTCTTTGTTACTGTCATTGTGGCCCTACTCCAGAACAAAGAAACCGAATTTCCGGAGGATGAGGCCCAGAAATCAGGATTTTAAAAAGATTCCCAGGTGATTCTAATGCGTAGCCAAGGTTGAGAACCACTGGTCTAGAAGAAACTATCAGTACCTGAGTCGTTAGTTTGGGTAAACATTGTGGAGAATATTTGAGGCCTGGGCAGTAGAGAACACCTAACTCAAGAAGAGCTATCTTTCATTTCCCTCATGGTGAGAAGTTGTAACTTCATCTAAATATATCCACATTGCTTTCGGTGCTTGGTATCTGATTTAATTTGTACATTTTCATTTAGTTTATATTTCTAATAAACAACTTAGAAGCACAAAGTAATAGCAGAGTCACACATTGATAAGATCATGTTTATTTAGTGCTATCTGACAAGTAGAGAAAGTAAAAAGAATATTTTAAAAATGTATAATTTATATTTATATAAATACTTTTTAAGGAGAAAAGTTGAACACATCTGGTGACATTAGGCGAATGTATGCATTTAAGTTTGCAATCTATCTTGTAGCCTGACAACTTAGATGGAAGTATGTATGCACCCATATCTTGTTTGTGAGTTTGCATAAGTAGGGCCCAAGGATAAGTTACGGGCAGGTCTACAATAAATTCTAAACTCCCATAAAATGTGTGCTCCTGTACCATCCCACGTATGTCGGCTTTGTTCTTCTGTTTTAAAGTTTCACTACAAGCACATTTGAATGTCATCCAAGGTTGTAATCAGGTGTTTTGGCCCTCAGTTTACTCATCAATGAGATGAGAGGATCTCTGCTGACAGGGTCTGCTTCTTCTGAATGAAAACACTATGGGCCCCAGAAGCCTGCAGCATATACAAATGTAGGGGGGCAGGTGAGGTCCAGTCATTGTCATCTCTGTATTAGGGGGAGTTTTCTGTTCAGCTTCTTTCTATTGGAAAGGAGTCAATTTGTCTGACATGGAGCAAGTTTATGATACCAGTCCATTTAACTAACTATAACATTGTATTACTGTAGAGACAGCTCGTTTCCTAGTTTACAACTAAACACAAAACTAATAGACTCTGGATTTCAAGTTGAAGAGCTCTATGTTTCCCGGATCTTGACTTGGAAGTTCAGAGCTGAGCTACACAAAAAGAGCTCAGCGGAGACCCCTCAAGTCAAACCTCAATATGTGGCGAAATAATTGTATGATGACATGGTCAGTCTGATGCTGGACTTGCCTGGGTCATTCCTGACAGGGACATCTTCTTGAACTTGCACGAATATATAACCAAAGAAGATGAGTGTGATGTGATACAGTCTACACAGTCAAACCTATGTCTGATTTCTTAAACTTATAGACGTTTTCATTCGCAGTAAACACCACAGAACAGTAAGTCATCTCTAAGCACTATCCTGAGTTTTCCTTGATTCCAAGTTTACAGTTAATCATATTGTCCATTAAAAACAATAAAAAGACAGCTAGAACTGACCTCATATGACCACAGAAAATACATAGGACTCAGGGGCAAAATCATAATTCTCGCGATTTTTCTTATATTCTTTTGAAGATGGGTCACGCAACAGCTACGGTTTGCCTCTGTAGGTGGGCTTCTCCAGGGACCCAGGTTACATTTTCCCTCGGCTGGTGCTCGGCTTTAACTCTTGGAGGAAAGCCTCGTTGTTGTGAGGACAGTTGTTGTGACAGGTGCAGGTCCCAATGACCATCATTGGCTTCTTGATGATGTGCCCCGGGGAGCACTGGAACTCCACCTGGATGGTTTTGGTGTTGTGAGGGGTGCAGCACCGGCCATCGCTGCAGACTCCACAGTACCTGGGCTTGTAGGTATGCAGGCTCGTGCAGTTCTTGAACTGCAGGTGGATGGCTTTGAGGGACTTCGTGGTGCGCAGACACTTTTTTCCTTTCTGAGAAAGAAGCAAGGGAGTGATGCATGGATGGTGACTCTTCCTCCCAGGACCATTTTAGGGGTATGGATTAACTTGCTAGTTGCCTGCCCAATATCCATTGCTCTTTATTTTTTGCTAACAGGACATTAATTTTGTGTGGGCAGCGTGGTCAGCTAAAAGTGCTTTCCCAGAATATCTGGGAGCTTAGGACGGCCTTGTGACAAAGTTCTGGCCAATGACACGCAAGCCACGGGATTCTGGGAAATTCTTTGCTCTTCAGACAGAAACTGTTCTTTATTGCTTTCTGCATTCATTTTCCTTCCTACCTAGAATGTGGAAACTGTGCCCCATTTTGCACAGTCGTCTTTTGATCTTGGTGGTAAACTAAGAGTAAAAGCATATGTATGATAAAGAAACCGATATTATTAAGCCACTATAACAGGGTTTGGTGTTGCTTATAGCTAAATGCATTCTTAGGTGTTATAAAGCAAAAGAGAATAAATTTGCCATTATTGCAAGTCCACTAATGTTTCAAACATTTTGCAAACGTTAACTCACATTAACCTTAGCAACAACATTTATTCATACTAGGAATAGTAGATAATGTAAAGAACAATTGCCCAAGTTTTAGAGATAAATAAATAAAATCTCAAGGAGCTAAAGTGATCAGAAAATATCCAGTAATTGAACTTGTCTGATGCAATGCCCACTTCTTCTACCGTATGGCTATTTTCCATGAAGGCGAAATAAGTGGAGAATTAATTGAATATTCCATTAGTAATTGTTGATGAAGAATCCTGATATTGATACTTCAGCAAGGAATTGATAATATGTTTATTTCCTACTCAGATTTCTTCACTTACTAAATTGCCACAATTCTCTACTGCTCTTGACCTTCCTTGGCACAGCCCACAGATTGTGGGGTGATGAGACTTGGAATTTTATGAAATTAGTGCCTCTCAAACTTCTGTGTGCATCAAAGTCATCTGGAGGTTTTGCAAAACCACAGATTGTTGGGTCTTACACCCAGAGTTTCTGACTCAGTAGGTCTGATGGGGACCCCAATAATTTGCATTCTAATGAGTTCTTAGATGCTGCTGCTGATCTGCGGGCCACACTTTGAGAAGCACTATCTCCCACTTAAGAATCTCTCGATAAGGAAGTAACAATTATGATGCTAGTATTTTCCTAAATTCTAGATACATTCCTGGAATCTTTAAAAATATATTTACCATAAAATATTTTAAACATAATATCTCCCAATATTAAACTGGATGCAAGAAAACAAATTTTGGTTAAAGAAACAGTAAGAAGCATGATATGGAAAATATTATTAATAAAGAAGTTAGTGTGTCTGAAAATACTTAAGGTCCTCTTGTTTCTTTCTTTTTTATATTTAATATTTGGCATATATTCTTGCCAACAACCACAAAAAAATACAAGGGCAGCAATATCCCTTTGTGTATATATGTGTGTGTGTGTGTGTGTGAAAGAGAGAGAGAGTAAGAGAAACAGAGAGATAGAAAAAGACTACTTTGTGGGTGAACCTGCATGGCCATGTTACATGTATGTTAGAATTCCCCTATGTGTAGGGTAGTGCATATAATTTTAGGGATAAGGAATCTCTAGGTGTTATTTCTAAATTGATGAAAGAAACAAAGTTAGGATGGACCTTAAAAAGTCATATAGCTCAGCAGCCATATAATGAATGCAACTACTAGAGACTCTTATTTTAGCAAAAAAATAGAAATTTAAATAATGATGCCTAATGTTAACAGAGTAACCTATGTCCAGAGCTTTGCTAATTCATTCTATTTAATCCTCATGATACCTTTGAAGTAAGTACTGTCAATGACCCTATTATATGGGGGAAGGAATGGAGGCTTAGAAGTTAAGAAAATTGCCTAAGAGCCCACGGCTAGCTGGTGTGAGAAGCCAGGATTTAAAGCCAGGCTAGCTGGCTCCAGAGATATGTAAATCTTTCATTGCTAGAGACTATTTTATTTTGGCCGTAGGTTTGTCCAAGGGTCCATATAATAGTTTAATTTGGGGGTACTGCATTTATCTAGGGCTCTGGTAACAAGGACTGTGAGGTCATCCGGAAGCAATCCAAGCTTCTGATCTGCATGCCTTGTACTCAGCGTTAACACACTGAGTTGATATAATACCAGCAAAAAAGGAAAGAAATGTTCTATTTTATTTGGCATATACAGCCTTATGCTGGCAAATGTACTAGTTCCACTAAGCTTTTTAAAATACTGAAAATAATTCCCAGACAGCCATTCACTTCTTCATCAACAGTGCTTTATCAAGCACACACGGTGGACCAGGCAGAATGCTGGGAATGGAGTGGTGAATAAGGCAGCTATAATTCCTACTCGGTTGATTGAATTCAAGGGGTGAAATGCCCTCTCTAAAATCAGCTTCCCTTGGCAATTGAGGAGCCAGTGTTTTCCAGGAGTGGAATGAGCTTTGCCATACCCTTCTCAATTGGGGACATTATGATAATTGTCCGGCCCCTCCTTCTTTACCTGTGAGCCTGCTGTGAGCTGCCTGGGGTATTTCAATACATTAAAGAGAAAAAATAAAAGAAGGTAAACTCACTCACTTCAGGAACCTCTCTGCCTTTTCCCTGGGGTTAATTCCCAGCTAGAGCTGATCTCTTGTCAACTAATGTGGCAGTCATTTTTCTAAAGCCTGGACTCCAATGAGGCCAGGCCGCCACCTACCTTATCTGTTGGTTGCCTGTGCTCCTGTTCACAGGGTCGCACCATACAGAGCCGAGTCCGCTTCACCATCTCGCACTGCGGATTCCTGTTGGTGACCTGGGTGGAGAAGCCCATGCCACAGCTCTTGGAACATGCGCTCCACTCTGTGGTCTGTTCAATGCAGTTGATACTTGAATCAGAGACTGCAACTCCTAGAGTGGTTTCTGTCCTGTAGGCTATGAGAAATAATAATAATTAAAAAAAGACAACCAGGCAGAGTAAAACATGAGGATCACAGTGGTTCTGTCCATCATCATCGCATAGAAGGTCTCAGCCAATTCTGTGCCTCCTAAAACTCAGGTGTTTTCAGGGACAGAATGGATTACTCTACTTATAAACCCCTAACAGGTTGCACAATGCCTGGCTCATTGTAGGCATTTAGGAAATCTTTGTGGAATGACTGTTTAACTTGTCCTTAAGTCTCAGGGTCCTGGCCGGGTGGCTCCGTTGGTTGGAGCATCTTCCTGTACACCAGAAGTTTGCAGGTTCGATTTCGGTGAGGGCACATACCCAGGTTGTTGGTTTGATCCCTGGTCAGGATCAAACAGCAGGCAACCGATCCATGTTTCGCTCTCAGCCCCTCTCTCTCCCTTCTTCTCTCTCTAAAATCAATAAAAAATATATCCTTAGGTGAGGATTAAAAAAAAAAGAAGCTTAGGAATTTTAAGAATATAGGACAGTTTAGCATCAATGACCATTCCATAAATTACAGTGTTTCAATATGTGATTTCTTACAGAAAAAGGATCATGCTAAATTTTTAATTGGATGAGTAAGTAGAACCAAACAACTCAAAATTGTGATGAAAGCAATAATTTGCCTTAGAGAGGTGGACCTGGAGATTTGGATTATGGGATATAGACACTTGGACTTTGATTATGAAAAGTTCTGTCTCAACACTTCATATCATGACTTGGGGCATGTCTTCTCTTCGACATGGTTCCTATCTGCAAGGCATGGCTAATAATGTCTGCATACCACCAGTAGATATAATCTGGCTGATGAATGGCTTCTAAAATATACTTTATTGGCTCTTGAGTTTCTCTCCCTACCCGAAACTATTTCCTTTATAAGGGGAAACAAAAAGCAAAGCAAAACCAAGATCCTGAAGTGTCACTTGACCTTTCCTGTAGCATCTGGAAAGGTAGCATTTCTCTGTGACACCTGTCCAGTGATGAGTAGCATTCTTTAGGGAGGCTGGTTTTGAGAATGCACAGCTAGTGTGCAGAATCCACAAAAGGGAGTGATTTTTTTTTTTTTACTTGTATCATTGTAATGTGACTAAAGGTCAAGTAGATGGACTAAAATATACAGAGTAGTCTTGCAATAAGACCAAATCAATCCCACTGCTGGAAAGAACCACTGAACTGAGCAGGTTCTCTTTAGGAGAAACTACATACTTCACTCACTCGGCTAGGACTCCAAGCCCTGGTGTGTTGGTCTCAGTGGGCAATCTGGAATCCACAGCTGAATGCCCAGAAATGGAGGCCAGTTTCTCATTGCAAATCACTCATGCTTCTGCCCACCTGTATCCTGTGCTGTGATCACCTTCAGGGAGTCCGAGTTTCTCACCTGGAAGGGCGTGCAGGTCCCCTAACGCCTCCGTGTCATTTGCGTCACAGATCCACTTTTCGCAGCACTCCCCGGGCACTTCAACTTTTCTTGGAACCGGGCAGTCAGGTTGGGGTAGTAGCAGGTCCTCATCACAGCGAGGCACGCAGCCAATCTGCCCGTCTTGGCAGGTGCACTGGTATTTGCAGCTGGGCTGAAAGGTTTCTCCACTTTGGTAAATGACCCCGTCGAACACACAGTTATCTCCCTCGATCGCTAGAATAGCAGGGAAGCAGGGCAGAGAGGGAAGGGGAGAGAGAAAAACAAAGTCACAATGCCTTGACGACGCCACATAAGATTTGCAGCACGTGTTCAAAGCCCAAGTTGTTCATTGTCTGGTTGAGAGAGCCTGTTTTGTTTTTTTTTTAATCCATCTCCAGAGAAGAGATATCCTCTTCCCTGAGCAAGAAAGAGGCTTCAAGGCCATCCAGCCCTGCCACTCATTTTATGGATGAGGAAAGAGGTGTACAGCTGAGAAATGACCCTCGCAAGGTCCTGTAGCCATGTTCCCAATGCTAAAGTTACTTTGCAAGAAACTCCTCAGATTCTCCTCAGCCAGCAGCTTAGAATTAAAAAGGGAAGGAAGGAAGAAAGAAAGAAGCACGCATGTTCTCCAAATAGGTTAACTGGTCACATTGGGCAGAGAGTTAGAATTCCTTGGCATTCCAGCACAAAAAATCATTATGAGCTCGGGGGCTATTCCAAGCCTCTAATCCAGAGAGGCAGGGCCAGCCTCCAACTACATGGTGCACCACGTGGAAAACTGATGCCCAATTAATTAAGTTTCACCAGCCTGCACCGGCTGGCCACCTGCCTTTTGTTACTCACAGCCCAGGAGAGGGGTTACATAGTCATCCCAGGAGACTTGGGGGGGTGGGCTTTGGCTCAAATAGGACAATCACAGGTTTGAAAACGAACCTACTGGACTGCAATGGGGGAGCTGGGAGCCAGTGAGTGAGCCCTAGCGTCCATCACCCCCTGGACATGTCCAAAGAAAACGACTTCACTGGCCCCTAACTCTGCTCTGCTCCCCATCCATCTCGATTCTTCTCTAGGGAGGCAAGTGATTGAGCGCTTCTCACCTCTGGCTTCGGGAGC